AATGCAAGAAGAATTCTTCTCAAAGCAGACGTTTAATTCGATCCAGCTATGTACCTAGTGTGAAAAATTTATCATGTGGTGTTTCGTATCCTAGGACCTCCTGGATGGAATAACTTGTGGTAGTGAGATAACTTGGTGGCTATATGCCAATATGTTTTTTGTTTTGGTTTATCTGTTTTTCGATAAAGTTGTTTTTTTCTTGTTATTACTGCTTTTTTCATAAATCCAATTACCGGATAATTTAAAAAAGAGAAACACTATTCATTATATTGAACTGAATTGAGTACAACTTGATGGCAGTAGTTTACAAAATAAATTAATATAAAAGTCATGAAAATGATGACGATGTAGTTGATGATAGGATTAATATTACATGTCATCATTACACCACAAGGTGATTCTCAGCACTGCATACCGTTTCACTTCACTGTCCTAAGTGTCAACACCAATGAATGCTATTCACAACACTTCGCTGAACTGCACGGCACTAATTTGCTTAAATTTGAACTCATGAGCTTGATTCTGATAACAAAAAAATTGATTACATTAATGATACAAAATTAATTTTAACATTTCTAACACAAGGGTCAGAAGTGCAAGAAATAGTTCGAAATTTTCTGCAGACAAACTGTTTCTATCTCTTAAAGTTCTACTGACGAATGAAATTTTCCCTACATCTCTTCTCTGTTTTTTTGTCCGAATATTGTTATTTTTGGTACCCTCTACCAAAATATCTTGGTTTCTCTGGTCTACAATGAATTTCCTCCCACGCCGGTTGACCTATGATATAATATATGCAAATATATATGAAAATAATAATACGAGCCAAGCCTCGCTTTCATTATTCCAGTTTTGAACGGGTTCGATTACTGGTTTAAGGTACCGTAAACGTGAAAGCTTTGTTTTGAATTCATTCTACATTTGCTTTGTGAGGAAGTCTACAAGGAGTCACTCCGTACTTCACGAAAGAGAAGACGAGTTATATGTCAATTCTTTTGCGTTTGTTGTTCACTTCTTCATGTTCGCATTTCGAAATACGACATCCACGTGTTTCAGTTACGTATCATTCCCCCACTCTACTCTTACTATCCAACTGAATGCTAAGGTGCTTGCATGATGATACTCGCGGTATAAAGTCGCTACCCAGATAGGAATCAGCTGAGGTGCAATTATGATGCTGGCCAAATATATTTTCTTTACTTTCGATTCCATTAATTTCTATTTTCATTTTAGCTCAATATCAGAATTATTATTTTAAGTTCTGTAGTCAAATGTTTTAGTTTTTATTTCTTTTAATTACTCGATATAACATTGAATCGTCTGCAAATATTCGTACAGGACAATGTAGTATGTTGTGTATTTGAAAGGTCATTTACGAAAGATATGAAAAGGAGAGAAAGCGAAATAACGTTATGATATTATCAGGGTGGTTAAATGGATAACAGTGTGTTGAGTAACAAAGGCCACGCCAGCGAGCCATTTAGTTTAGTGTAGTTTCCGTGCTTAGTGGAGATCCGCGATGGCCGTTGGTCGATTCTTTTGAGTTGAGATAACGCTAGTTTGTGATAGACGGACTGGATGCATCGCATTGGTTCTCGTTTTATTATGATAAAGTACGTTCTTTGAGATCATATTGGGCGAACTTTTCAAACCATCATACACGTGTGAAAATAAACATTTCGAATGGAAATTTACTGTGTAGTCATTTTTTTTCGAGTGATAATAGAAATAAGTGAACAATGCGTAGAATTTGATTTGTATACACTTTTTTGTAGAAACTATTTCTGAAAATGGTATTTATTTGTTTCGGTACTTTAAAACTATAACATCTATCGGGAACTGTAGAACAGTCAGTGTACAATCCAGAACTATGATAATATTACCTGATTTTCTTAAGTTATCTTCAAGTTGACGGGGAATGTTTCTTTTTTAATTTTTATTTATTTTTTGTTTGTTTGTTGTTGTTTTTTTGTTTTCGTAAGCAGAACTCTTTCAATACCCTAGGACTCTAGAACTATTCTGCTGCTAGTCAGAATTCTTTTGATTTCATGCTTGCTCTGGCGTTCGCTCAGTAACTTTACACCAATGAAATGTATTTAATTTCATTGGAAGGACATCTACATCGATAAGTAATTTATTAGCACGTTGCTGTAAATAACGGTCTCTGATATAGCATACTTATATTTAACCGTCGAATGACAATTTCATAAGAGCTTGATTTTTATCTTCAATTTACACTGAGACATACGAATAAGTAAGTACATTAATGAGATTATATATTTGATCTATTTCTAACATGGCTATCTTCGATTTGACGAGACTTGTGAAGGTAAATGGGATATTAATCCTCTATGGATATGCGTGTTTGTCTTTGATAAATTAATTTCGTGTTCGTCTGTCCATAATGGCTGACATATTTGGAATCGTTTCCTAATCATTCACTATTCCATTCATTTGCTTATTATACATATTCAAAGACGTTATTTGCCTCTGGAACGTTTGGCGTTACGATAGGAAATTACTTGTTTCATTAATAGATGATGTCAGTGTCATTGATTGAACAGAGCTTATTTTTTATCATATGAAGGACTGAAATTTCTGTAAAATGTTAAAGAAAATAACATTTAACATCCTTAGTAAAGTATTTTGTCTCTGGATAAGGATGGTAATATTTTGTATCTAGGCATAAGTTGTATAAACTAGTTTCGGGGAAGTCACTGCAATGAATCTACGAAATTATTTTCAAACCCTTCTATATACTCTGGAATATTTCATCAGGAAAGTTTTCTAATACAATATTATTGTAAACACTCAAAATGAAGAACCAAAACGCAGAGTTTCAAAACTCTTCCACTAAACCTCTCTTACTTCTTTTTGGTGTTACATTTCCACTATCTTTCTTGAATTGAAGTAGTTTGTGCCATTTTTTCTCCGAAAGTCAGTTGTTCTGAGCCGATAATAAACTGCCATCGCGTGCTGAACTAATGGAAGCGCCGAAAACAAGGCTCTCTCTGTCGTGCTATTGAACCCGCCAGGCAATGCTCAGACCTTTGGGAATCTATCGTAAAAATCTCAAACGGTGTAAATGGTCGCGCGTATCGCGAAAACACAGCCAGTGCAAACAAACGCAGTACTCGCGCACAGTGTAATGTTTGCGAAGCGGATGTTTAATCCGAACTGCATTGTAAATAAAGATTAAGCCAAGATTGGGGAATGTAAAAGTTGCAAAGTTGATAAGACAGTGAGTGTATTGAAAAAAAATAACCAGAATTCTTTTTCCCCAGTGGAGAACATTTTACTTAAGAAAAGGAGGACATTTCAATGAAAATGAGGACATTTTTTACTCCACGATGTGTAAAAAAACTCCAAACCATTTATACTCTTCAAAAAACATATTACACTTTGCGTCATTGAAAATGCTAGCTTACGATTGATAACTTCGGCCCCGCACTCAATCTCATTATCCACCTAACTATATATGTGCGTAAATAAGTTTTATATAACAATAAGCCAAATGATATATTATACAGACCATTTATTTAAGTAAAAATGTAGAATTCAAGACATGAAGGCCCTTTAATTAATTAATTTACTTTAGAATTATGCAAGTATTATTTTCAATTCAACAGGACAAAACGATCGACATTCCATGCACAAAGTAGGGAGGACAAGAGGGCAATGTTAAAAAGGAGGTCATGTTTTCCAGAAGGACGGATGGCAACCCTAATTTTAGTGAACTGTCGAGAAGTGACTTTAAAATGTATTCATTTCTGTGTACGTGTGTTTTGTTTGTGTGTGTTTTCTGCACGAGTTCATGGGTGGACTGTTAGTTTATTTCTAGCATGTTTCATTTGTTTATTCTAAACAAAAAGACGTATCGTTTTCAATAAGAAGAGAAGTAATTGTATTGTAGTTGTATTACTGTAAATAGTTGTATAGAAGTAATTGTATTGAATAATGTGACGTGTGTGTGTGTGTGTGTGTGTGTGGCAATGTCAGATTTAAATAGTGGCGTTAGTGGCTATCGCCTTGCGGCCTCCACACATTAGGGGCTGTAACAATGTGTTACTCGGTGAATTTATGACAAATATATCGTAGATTGATGGTAGGATATAATGATATGGAGATGATGTTAGATTAATTGAGGAGAAGCGAGAGTGATGAGGCAAATGCATGGGGTGAGTGCGATCAGACGAGGCGAGATGAACGAAGTCTGACGCGGTGAGTGAGATGGTGAGAGGTGAATTGACGAGAGGGGAGGGTGAACAGACAAGATAATGAGGTGAGTGAGACGAGGCGAGGTGAGATGAGTAAGGCCGGATGAAGTGAATGAGATAGTGAGAGGTGAATTGAGGAAAGATGAAGCGCGGTGAGATGAGAGAGAGATTAGAGAGGGAGAGCGGGCGAGAGAGGGAGAGAGCGGGCGAGAGAGGGAGAGAGCGGGCGAGAGCGGGAGAGAGAGGGATAGAGCGGAAGAGAGAGACGGAGAGAGGGAGAGAGACGGAGAGAGGGAGAGAGAGACGGAGAGAGGGAGAGAGAGACGGAGAGAGGGAGAGAGGGAGAGACGGAGAGAGCGAGCGAAAGAGGGGGAAAGCGATAGAGAGCAAGATAAAGCGATAGAGAGAAGGAAGATAGAGCGATAGACGAGATAGGGAGGAGAGCGATAGAGACGGGAGAAAGAGAGGGAGAGAGCGAGGAGAGGAGAGAAGCGAGGAGAGGGAGAAGGGAGAGGAGGGAACGAGCTGAGGGAGAGGGAGGAAGCGAGGGAGAGGGAGAGAGCGCGAGGGAGAGGGAAGAGAGGGGAGGAGAGCGAGAGGGAAGAGGAGCGATAGAGAGGGAGAGCTATAGAGAGGAAAAGAGCGAGAGAGAGGGAGAGAGCGAGGGGAAGAGAGAGAGAGGGGGAGAGGGGGAGAGGAGAGAGGTGGGAGCGAGAGGGAGAGGGACTCACGAGGCTCTCAGCGAGCGGCGGCAGCGGGCCCTCGGGCGGGGGCTTCATGTAGATGCCGTGCACGACGCCGCGCGTCGCCATGATGCGCAGCAGCTGCGCGTACTCGTTGCGCCTGCGCGCCGCCTCCTCCGAGTCGCCCGGCTGCGCGTGCAGCTTGCGCAGCCACTCCGTCACGCGCACGCGGTCTGCCTCACGCGCCCGCGCGCGCGCGATTAGGCGCGCCGTCCACGTCAAGCGAAAGGGTTGGCGCATTAGCAGGGGGGAGGGCAAAACTTTCAGGCACGGTATATTTTTTTTTAAAAGCATCGATATCATAATAACCATTGTAGAATCACGACCATTGATGAATAATAAAATAAAATTCGTTCACGGGATTGGTTATTGTGGGTAAAGAAACAATTCCAACGTTTCGAAATATTTAATTTCTTCATCAGGGCTTACTAATATTGATAAAGGTAAAGTCTCTCATTTCATGCCACCACACCCGATTTCACATGGAGTTGCTGAAGCACTTGGGTCCATCAAGTGTGCGCGTCCATCTACGGTTAGGGCCTTGGACCGATTCACACTTGACGCGCGATGGACCCACGAGCTTCAGCAATTCCACGTGAAGTTGGATGTGCTGGCTTGAAATGAGACTTTGCCTTTATCATCATTAGTAAGCCCTGATGAAGAAATTAAATATTTCGAAACGTTGGCACAACTAATTGTTTCTATACCCACAATGACCAATCCCGTGAAACAATTTTATTTTATATAATAAACAAGAACAATAAAAAAGTCTTGACCCATCAGTTTTTTTGTCTCTTAAAAGGGTTTTTTCCACTGATTTTTCCTCTCCCCGACCTTTCTCCGTTAGAGCTGCTATTGAAACGTGGTATAGGAATTCGATCGTCTAACATTGTTTTGTGATCATGCCTTTCTTTAGAATCACTTGAAGAGAAAAGCCAGGCTATCACAATTTTCAAAATACCAGATTATTATTTTTGCTAATAAGCCCTAAAGTAAGTTGGGAGTCCGTGAATTTTTCCACTGTCCCTTTGGATTCAAGTTTTCCCCTCACGTCCCCTTCACTGAGAGTGTTGTGGGAGGACATCATGCGATTCGACGTGTTCGATGAAATCGGCCGACGGGCGGGGACCTTCGCCTTGACCGAGTGCCCCCCGACAGGCGACTTCCAACTCGACCAGTTGGTCGATACTCTACCAACAAGTCGGATTTCTCTAATGCCGTACGCTAAGTGCTTTCTAAAAGCAGGGAATGGACTGAAACGACGCCGCGTCCACCGATTCGAATCCCCTCACGCTCAGAACATCCAAAAGCATCGTTGACAATTGAAACAAAAATGGAAATTGAAATGAAAATTCCACTCCAGTGAAATATTATGCGGTGTGCGTTAAATAATTTTTAAAGAAATGAAACAATTTCAGATAATTTTAGAAAATTATGGTTGTCCATAAATTAGATGTTTCGAAGTGAGAAGGTTTTTACGCAAAGTTGCAGAATCACATACCTTCGACGAAAACGTATTATGAATTTTGAGAAAAACGAGAGAAATGATATTCGAGTTACGATTATTCGGAGTTCTGCGTCAAGTTCGAGCGTCAGAAAAATAGTTTGAGAGAGTTACTTCTGGGACGCAAAGAACTCGAACTTTCATTTCTATATGATGTTAAAATCAAACTTTTTTTAACTAAGTATTAATACGGGCTTTTTATTGTTTTCCGGTCTTCGTCAAAGAACATTGACAAATGTTCCCCAAAAAATTAAATTAATTATTTTTTTCGATATATGAGGATCAAATTATATTATTGATTTTCATCGCTCTTCGCAACCTAATGCTTTGAGAATTTCAATATTGCTCTTGGGACGTTTACGCGTCATGAGGATATTTTGTTGCGTAAACTGAAGGCGTCAGAGTAAAAGAATATTTAAGGAACTAATATGCTGGAGAAAAAGTGTGCTTTCTTAACTGAAAGACCTTAGCAGCTATCATATCTTAAAAAATTCTTAATTAAAAGAAACGAAATATTAACATTACTAGAGCTAAGAATTGTTCGTTTTTTTTGTTTTGTTTTTTTTGTTTTTTTGTTAAAGCGATGAAATTTTTGCGCCAAATATGTATTTTGCAGATTCCAACGTTTCAGTTTGACATAATTTTATTGAACTTATTTAAAGTTCCATCTGTCTAAAACGATCGTAATAATAAAGGATTATGTTGTGAAGAAATTGTCCTTAGTGGATTATGCGGATAATGTCGGGAGTGCCAAGGAAAGGCTAGCGATTATCAACTATTTCATATCTGATTGTTTTCCAATTGGTCTGAATGAATTATAATAGGGAGCAAGGAGTCTGATACTACACCTTTTCAACCTCAAATTGCGACCAAGGACATTCAAATTGACGACAATTACAATCAAACGGATAGAAACCACCATCAAACTGAGAAAGATACTTCGAAATTGAGAACATACATATTTATATTAAAACCAAGCACGTTCAAATTGAGAATAAACAAGCTTAATATATAAATGTATTAAAGCAAAACTTTTGAAAATTTATTGTTTTATTTAAATATTGAAAAAAGCAAAAGAATATTTGTTGTTCCACCTCTTTTAGTTTTAATAATGTTCCAAAACACTCACAAAAAGGCTTGCGTCAATTGAAGCTTATTCTTCTAAAGATCATCAAAAGCCTGCAAAGCTTCTTCGTCATACTGAAAAGAACCAAATAGTTCCAAGAATGTTATAGAAAACTGGCCACCTTCTGGGCAAGAAGTTCTCCATTTTGCTGTGGATGCCCAAAGCGTCAAAGGTTTTGAGTCCTTGGGCTTTGGATCACAGCCATCGCCGACAAACGTCGTCGATCGGGAAAAGCGGCCTAGAGCATTTGCTCGAGACTAGGCTGTGCAAAAGCAAACATCTTCTTCGGCTTGATGTATTGTTATCTTTCACAGTTTCCGTTGCGTCCTCAATTTCTCTTATCAGCTTGGGAAGTACACGATAGCAGCGACATGACTTCCTGTACTATCCAAAGACAGACTGGGTGGTTTGGAAAACTATTGAAGCATCTAGTGCCGCACAATCAGGCCCTCCACTTGCCTATGCCTTTGGTACTTTGGCGCTTGGTATTCTTCTTCTTCTTCTTCTTCTTCTTCTTCTTCTCTTTCTTCTTCGTCTCCGTTTCCTTTTTCCTCTCCCTGTCTTTCTTCTCCCCTATTTCGATTTGTTTGTATTGTTCTCAATTGCTAATCTCAATCTGAACGAGATCTTTTTTAGTTTCATTGTGGCAAGTGTAAATTTGAATAATATTGATTTCAATTCGAGGTTGAAAAAACATACTTATAGATAAAGAAGACAATACGTAAAAGTAGTCTGATACGATTTTAAAGTAAACGTGGTGCAACTAAAACGATACAAAATTATGTTTAGGATACCATTTGGGATTTGACTTAGGAAGCGAGTCGGATGAGCTGAGGTAATGTACAAGAAGTGTTCAGTCTGGAGAACAGATGCTCATTCAAAGCACTCAGCAATATTTTACGGGCACATTCGTATGCAAACAGTAGTTCAAATCAAACCGATATTAACGGTGGAGAACGTATCCTCCGTAAATCAGATGGTATTTTAAAATTATAAAATCATTCCGATGAAAGGCATTTATAACTTAAAATAATTCAATCACCGTTATTAATCATTACATGCGCTCATTGTGCAAAACTAATATGTGTCGGTTAAAGATTGAAATAAATTCATACTACGTAATAAAGTCAACATTGAGAAATATTTGAGAAATAATTGCCTTACAATATTGCAGATACGTTTTTCTAAATTCAAACGCTGCATTTATTGAAAATTATTTTACAATTTATGTAGTTTTTGATAGATTTAAATGCACGTGTAAGTCTTGGAATCTTGCATCAAATTCCTAGCTTTATTTACGATACATTTATATAATATGCTCATTATTAGGTTTGACATTTACAATGTTTGAGATAAATTGATACAAACTTTTAGGGTATGCACGATCGTTAAAGAATATCTCTTTTGCCAAAGAATATGTGGTGAAAAAATCTCACTTAACGAAGTTACGCGTGACCCATATATGCATCCCTGATTAGTAGGCTTCTCATCCCGCTCTGGTGTTTGTAAGTACTCGAACGTTCATACGACGACTTGTACACAGTCAGTGACAATATCGATCTATCTTACTTTCATCCTTTAGCTTTGGCTAAACAGCCCGTTCAGATGCAGACATGTATGACCACGCTCCAGGAAAAGTAGTGATGTTGAAAAAAGTGAAAGTTGTCACCGATACTTAACAATCAGTCTGAGGGTCTGATGAAGGACAATCAAAGATAAATCTGATAAGATCAAGAAAATCCGTGGTCAATCTGTAGAAATTATATGTGGTGTCAGACATCTGAAAGAGAACAAATCTTGTTTGGAAAGCCGAAATAAAAATATTAAAGTTACCATTGGTAATTTTCGTTCAAAACTAGATTTTTATGAAATATTGTCCCTAAAAAAATGTGTCCTTTATAAACCTGTTTTCACCGTATAAAGTATTCATGCAGATGAGCCTTTTTGGTATTTGGCGAAGAATGCCACATTTTTCGTTAAAAAGGCACAATATCACTGTTAATTTCCCTGGAACTTAAAAAACTGTTATCCGGATTTAATTAGCAATTTAAGTTACACTTTCTATTTTCATTCTTTTAATTTTGAAAAAATTATGCATCTCAATTTTCTAGAACTGTTGAAGAATATTCAATATTTGTTTATTATTGAAAAAAAGCATCTTTCAGTGTCATTTTTTAGCGCGAGGAATTATTATTATTATTATTATTATTATTATTAGTACTATATATTACTATTATATATTATTGTATTACTATTTATTTATTATTATTATTATTATTATTATTATAGGCGAATTCTCATAGAGGGAAGACGCGAAGAAAGAGACTTAATTTTTCCAATTTGCTTTCATTCTTTCTGAGAGAGCTTGTTCACGTTCTTCTGCCCACTTTGGTCTGTATTGTTTTTGTTTTGGTTGCTCTGGTGCAACTTGCCACTCATCCACTTTGTGTCTGAAAGCGTCTCTTTCTACTATGACATCTGATCTTATATTAGCTTTTCTTAGGTCATTTCGAACTTCGTTCAGTCAAGCTGTTGGGTTCAGTGAGGTTACGTTATTTAGTATCTTTTTTGTCAATCGATTTTTTGGTAATCTGTTAAAA